ATAATAAATATTATCAAACATGCAATCTGAGCTTGAATCGTTGAAAGAAATAAATTCGAAGCTCTTAGCCGAAATCACTGAACTTAGAAAGGAGAATGCTGAAGTCAAGGCTGAGAATATCGAAGTTAAAGCCGAGAATGCGAAGTTAAAGCATGCTTTGGAAGAACATGAAGCCAGATTCACGGATCTAGAGCAGAGAGATAAAGAGAAGACCAACCTTATTGCTAAATTAGATGATGATATCAAGGAAATCAAACAGGAGCAAATTGCTATTAATCTTTCGGTGCAAGGTGATACGTCCATACCGAAATCTCCAATTAATTCGGAATCACAGGTAACTCCCCAATCATCCGTTTTGCCACCTATTGAGGGTGACTCTAATGCGAACAATAGCCCCAATGTGACTCAACATACCTGTTCAGAATCTAAAACATTGGAAGAAAAAGAGGACGATGAATTCATAGATTTGGTATATAAGGAAAAAGTTAGCAATGAGATAAGACAGAAAAGACGAGAAAAAAAGTTTCAAGGTAAGTTGGTACATTCGTGCCAAGATTAGGAATTACTTTTAGACTCTGCTGATACTTCCCCTAATATTTCTCATGAGCAAAAAAATATCCAATCAATTTCTAATGAGTCAGGGGACCGCGAGCCCGAAGGAATGTCCAGTAATCAGGTACAAAGTTCCGAAATAAAAATTCCCTACAATCAGAAAGTAGAACAAGGCATAATGCATGAGTTAACTGTTTGTTCTAAGGAATGTATCCCTATACAAGACATAGATTTGCAAATTCCTGAACTTCCCCTAGAATCAATATTGATAGTGTCTAATGAAGTTACGCCTCAGATTATAGCGGATTTATTTAATACGGCAATGAAAACTAGACAAAAAGAGAATTTATGCTGGTATTGCTACACTAGAGCATATGAAGATCGAATTAGGGATATCAAGTCTAAAAATAAAATCGATGACCAATCGGCAAGAACAATGGTATATAACGAAATCAAATTACTTCTTCCTGATATTACTGAAGTGAATTTGCGCAAAAGAACTTTCAAAGCTAAAAAAATCCATACATTGTTTGAAGGAATAGGAATAGATAAAATTAGGCAAATAACTTACAGTGCAAATGCTATTTCAAGTTTAAAAGATGATCAGATTCAAAACATCATAAATCATTTTCCCAAAAAACTGACTAACCCAGACGATAAAAATAATTGCCAAAAAGAGATCGGCATTCTGAAACAGAACGCGCACGTGACCGAATCATCTAACTCGAATGGCGCATCAAATATTAAGGTAAGTATACCTACTGAATCGTCTCATACCTCTAATTCAGAAGATATGATAAATGAGCCCGATGATCCAGAAGAAAAACGAAATCTTGTTATCAAAATAGCAGATTTCAAGCCTATCATGTTTGAAGCCAAACCTGATCCAGAATTAATTATCAAATCCGTGTTAGAGTATTTCACATACTTGAAATTCCGAAATAGTTTTAGAGGAATTGATAATTATAGTTTTGTATCACCTCAGCCGTGGAGCTCACCATGCCCTATTTGCAATGGAAAACATGGGAATTATGGACTACATGGCAAATGGAATAGAAATGGAACAGAATATTGCCTTACCTACAACAGTTCAAGCAATGAACTTAAGTTCTTGATCGTAGCATAGGCCAGTATTGACACGCGATTGTGTAAATGTTGGAAGGCTTATACTGGAATCCTAATATAACCATAATAGCATAGTTTAATATCATTTTCTCGCAAGCTCGAAAAAAGAAATGTAGTAATCAATTCAGGGTTCACCTACTTCCTGGCTTCGAATGATAAAATCATAAGAAGGCAGTTCGCAAATTATATTGTAAAAAATCGTGTAAAAATAAAAAATTGGGAGCCCAGTGGATCCCTCTCTTTATTATTATAAAAAATTATATTGTAGGGACAACAACATAATATACAAATAAAAAATATATCACTGTTACATAGTGCGAATATAAATAAAAAATTATTTTTTGGGGTATAAAATAGGGTTTTATTATTACATTGTTCACAAAGAGTTACAAAACAACATTCTACAATAACGAAAAACTAAAATTAAGTTGGTTTTCATAAGATAGCCTACATAAAGAACACCTTGAGGTCCTACAACACTTTTTAATTTGGCATTTTATTCCTTTAGTTAAATCCATCTAACTTTTTAAAGTGATGGAATCTTGTATATGTCTGCATTCACTTATATTATGTAAGGGAGTAGTTGAAAAACTATCTGTAGAAAAAATAGTTAATTTTTCTAGATCGTGCTCTTCAAGTTCATGCGCAGAGGCTCTTTCTCTTCGAAAGTATTTCTCATATGATTGTGGAGGCGCTTATTCTGAATTTTCTTAATACAAATATAACAACATGAAATGCACCCATTGACTAAAAATAACCTTCCAGTCCAAAATATGATGGGGCAAAGATTTGGGCCGAACTGGCTATGAATGAGGAGTCTCGTACAAAGATTTTTGATATATTTTGGATCGAATATGTGTATATCTTGAAAATAAATTGCAACTATAGTA